GATTGAGCCCAGGGGTGCTCTACCACTGAACTACATTCCCAGCTCTTTTTATTTTTTAATTTTTCACAGGATCTTCCTAAGCTGCTCAGGCTGGCCTAGAACTTATGATCCTTCTCTCCTCAGCCTTTGGAGTAGCTGGGATTACAGGCCTGTGCCACTACCTGGGCTTCACCATAAAGGAAGAATCAGCCTGGGATTTATGTGTCTCAAAAACAAACAAAAGCTGGGCGTGGTGGTGCATGCGGGAAGATTGTAGGATCAAAACCATTCTCAGCAATTTAGTGAGACTATAATCAACCTAGGGAGACTCTGTCTCAAAATAAAAAAAAAAAAAAATAAAGAGGACTGGAGAGGTGGTTCAGTGCCCTTGGATTCAATCCCTGGTTAGAATAAAAGCCTGCCTTAGCCTCTGAATCTCTGAGATCACAGGTGTGAATCTCAGCCCCAGACTCCTCAGGTCTTTTCACTTGCTCTATCCTCTGCATGAGATGTCTTCTCGCACTCCATCTTTTTGTGTGGCTCTTTTCCTTATTTTTGAGGTCTCAGCTGAAGTACTCAGAGGTTTTTTTTTTTTTTTGGTGTGTGTGTGTGTGTGTGTGTGTGTGTGTGTGTATACTAGGACTGAACCCTGGGCACTTTACCACTGAGCTACATCCCCAGCCCTTTTTATTTTTTATTTTGAGACAAGTTCTCAACAAGTTGTTAAGGCTGGCCTCAAACTTTTGATCCTCTTGCCTTAGCCTCCCAAGTCACTGGGATTAAAATTGTGCAATTTTCCCACTGCCTAGCTCTTCACTGTCTCTTGTGTGGGAGACCAACCTTACACGTGACTGGGTTACACTCCCTAGCTGGGTGCTGAGGCACTCAGTCGCAGAAATGTGGCAGAGCTTTTCCCACCCTTCTTGGGTTCGAGGGTTGGTGTCTCGTGCATGGGTGTGTCTTGCTACACCATGCACTTAACCCCGTGGGTGAAGCTATGCTCACTTATTCCTTTGTAATGTAACCCCTTACCCTGTTTAGGATAGAATCTTCTATGGAAGTGCCTTGTGTGTGTCCCCTTCTCTTACTGTGCCCTTGGGTGTGGCCTACCCAAGTGTCAGTCAACCTGCTGACAGTGGACATCATGAAGATAGACTCAGCCCCCTGAAACCTGACCCCTTGCCTCATTTGAATGGCTTCTCCTCAATAAAAGGGGTCAGCACGTGCTTTCGCTCTCTTTCTGCGGACCCTTAAGGTCAGAGGAGCCGTCACAGCGACCCCAAAGAAAAAGGTATTTGTGTGTCTTGTGTGGTTATTTTGTGCAGCCCAGTTAGCCCAGTTTATCTGGAGTGACCCCTGAGCCTTTTAGTCGCGAGAACAGAAACCCGGCACTCTTGAATCTATCTCTACCATCCTAATTGTCACTGCCTTAGTTCAGGCTCTGTCACTTCCAGACTGGCTTTCTAGAACAATCTTCCAGTCAATGAGCTTCCCTTTCTCTCTTGTCCTAGTCACTCCATTCCCCACACAGTGGTTATGAAAATGAGCCTGTAAAATGAAAATGATATTGTGTCACACTGCTTCAAGCTTCAGTGGCCCTCTGCTACTTGCAAGAGGTCAGCACTCAAGGTCAGCACTCAAAGCCCTTTGTGCTCTGGACCCTGCTGTCTTTGTGGTGGCATCTTAAGAACTTGCCCCTCCTTCCTGCCATGCTTATGACCACACAAAAGCTCCTACAGTTCCCCCAACAAGCCATGTCCTATAGGTTCTCCCTTTTGTGAAATGTTCCTTCTTCCCGAATTCCCCCATCTCCCTTCTTATGTAGCTAACACTGCTAAAATACAATTCAGCCCTCTGGGAACCAGCTCTTACCACACACTGTACTCCTTTATCAACACCCTTCTTAGGACTTGTCCACTCTCCCAGGGTTCATCAGCTCTCCCTGATCTTGGGTGACCTGGTCACAAAAAGCTGTCGAAATAGTCATTTATCCGGACATGGTGGTATACCCTTGTAATCCCAATTCAGGAGGCTGAGGCAGAAGGATCACAAGTTCAAAGCCAGCCTCAGCATCTTAGCAACTTAGTGAGACCCTGTCTCTAAATAAAAAAATAAATAAAAAGGGCTTGGGATGTGGTTCAGTGATAAAGAACCCTTGGGTTAAATCCTCAGTACCAAAAGCAAAATAAAAACTAATTATTTAGTAGGGAGCACAGACACTGGAGTCAGGCAGGATTTGAATCCAGTCAAGTGACCTTATTTTAGTTCTTCACAGCTTTGAAATTATTATTATTTTTTTTTTTGCAAGGTTAAGGGTCAAACCTAGGGGCTGGGGATGTGGCTCAAGAGGTAGCACGCTCGCCTGGCATGCATGCAGCCCGGGTTCGATCCTCAGCACCACATACAAACAAAGATGTTGTGTCTGCCAAAAACTGAAAAATAAATATTAAAAATTCTCTCTCTTAAAAAAAAAAAAAGGGTCAAACCTAGGACTTTGTACATGTTAGGCAAGCCTTGTGCCACTGAGCTACTCCTCCAGTCCAAGTTTTATATTCTTGCTCTATAAAATGAGGATAAATCTACTTCAGTTTTATCTGGATACTTACCTACTTTTTTTTTTTTTTTTGGTATTGTAAAGCACTCCCACTTAAGAGTCACACCATAACCTCTGTTGATTGATTAAATGGTGCACATGCAAAACAGGCTCCTTTACTTCCACAGCCAAAAACCTTGAATGACTTTTCATTGTCTTGAGGTTAAGATGTGGTTTCAATACAACTTACAGGATATTTTCTACACTGAAATGTTTGCTTCATTCAAGTTTCCCTGAACACACATACTCAAGCTATTTTTGGTGGGGGGTGGGTATGGGAGTACTGGGGATTGAACTCAGGGGCACTCAGCCACATCCCCAGTCCTATTTTGTATTTCATTTAGAGACAGGGTCTCACTGAGTTGCTTAGCACCTCACTTTTGCTGAGGCTGGCTTTGAACTTGAGATTCTTCTGCCTCAGCCTCCTGACCTGCTGGGATTACAGGTGTGGACCACCACGCCAGGCTTTAAGCTGTTGTTTCATGCCTCCCTGCCATTGCTTACCTGTCCCCTCAGCCTAGAGTGTCCTAGTTTTGGTGCCCTTACTCTATACATTTACCTTCATATTTAGCACATGCTATTCTTATTTGTTTACATGCTTTTCTTTCTCCATAAAGCCTAAGGAGCATGGCATGGTGGCACATGCCTGTAATCCCAGCAATTTGGAGGCTGAGTCAGGAGAATCGAAAGTTTGAGACCAGCAATTTAGTGAGATCCTATCTCAAAATTAAAAATAAGAAAAAATGGGCTGGGGATAGAGCTTAGTAGTAAAGCACCCCTGGGTTCAGTCTCCAGTACAAGAAGGAAAAAAAAATGCTTAGGGACCCTGAGTCCTACCATATTTTCCAGTAGTGTAGGGCCTGATGGACATTCAAGGCAAAGAAAATAATTGTGTTGAATAAATGCATGACATATGGAAGCAACAACCAGAAGACCAGCATGGGCTGGGTGGGGAAACTGAGGCAAGAGTGGTTTTTCACTCCCAAAAGTAACAGAATTGGTTGGATGTCAGATTCACCTGACCTCACTGTCAATACTCTCTCCCCACCCACACACCCCAAAATAGTTTTCTTCTGTGTAACAACATGAATTTTCCCAGGAGCTTTGGCTCCTGCAGGTAGAACCAGAATCTCTAGAGAAGATCTTCTGAGTGTTCAGGCACAGTGTGACAGGGTACAACATTACACAGCTCTGAAGACTGAGGGAAGAAAAACCATGTAGTAGCTACAAAAAGTTGCCACATATACTGACTTTCCCAGATTCTCAAGCTATTTTCTTCACCCTCTAGATAAAGGAACCCAGGCTCAAGTATGAGGGGAAAATGTCCCCCCACCTCCTTTCCCTTGGCCCTAGCACCCCAGGCTGCCCCTTTCCACGCAGGGCTGCAAATAGCCTGGGAGCCTGAGGGCCAGCAAAAGGGAGTGAAAGGGGAACTTGGTCAACCGGCATAGCTGCTGCTATGGCAGCCAGAGCCAAAGGAGGTCACCATTGATCCCATATGCACTTAATTCTCTATGCTGTGGCGTGAGGCAGGGCTGACTAGAAAGCTGAGGCGGTGCTGGAAGCTGGGAAACAGGCACTTTCTCTCTCTGAGTCTCTGTTTCCCGACATAAAATAAACACACATGGTTTAACTAAAACCATTCTCTACTGGTCCCTATGTTCCACTCTCCAGTAAATGTCAGGACTGCAAGATGCTGATGGAGTGAGGGTGGGGGAGTCGACCCTCAGATATGAGAACCAGAAAGGGGGTGCACGATGTCCATGAAGAGCAGGAGAGCATTGCGTTTGGGGGTCCCCTGAGTCAGAGGCAGAACTACCCCTAAGGGTTCCAGGTCTTCCAGTTGCATGACCCTTGGAATAGAGACCGCGGCCTGGCCCCGCCCAGAGAATTCTGCGAGAAGAGGACTAGGTCATCACCACTGCCCCAGCGTCTGGGAAGAAAGGAGGTAGGTCTTTGTTCACTCATTTCTAGGCCTCCCAGGGCAGCTGGGTCCAGTCCCACAACCACAACCCACTCGGTCAGGAAACCTCAAAGACAACAACCCGCTAACCCTTCGGGCACTCTCTGTCCGCCCCAGCCCCGCCCCGCCCCGCCCGCATCCTTCGCCTCCACCCCTGGGCCGGAAGTCCCCTCCTTCTCCCCTCGCCTCATACCCCGCAAGCTATAACCGCTCCTAGGCCCCATGCCTCCGCTGATCGGGGAAACCTCTCTCCGCTCAGTCCCGCCCTCTTCCTCTGGCTCCAGCTCCGCCCAGGCTGCTCGGCCCAGTCCCCAAGCCCCGCCCAGCCCCGCCCAGGCTCCGCCCCGGCTTCTCCGCCAGCTCCGCCCCTTTCTCTCCCCGGCCCCACCCCCGGCCCCCGGAAGCCTCTCTCCGCCCCCGGCCCCGCCCCCCGAAGTTTCTTGGGCCCCCGGCGGCGGGCGGGACAGAATGTAGAAAGCCGCCGCCCGGCCCCGGGTAGATGGAGCTGGCGGAGCCCGCGAGGAGCGGGGAGTGAGCGGCGGAGTGGCCGGACCCCAGCGGACTCGCCATGGAGGAGGAGGTGAGGGCCGGGCCAGCCGGGGTCTGGGCTGGGGTCTTCGAGCCCCTTACGGGGTTGGGGTCCCGGGCTCAGGCCCCCGTTCTTGCCCGCCCCACTTCCACTGGTCTCGGGAACCCCTTCCCTTTCCTACTCCCAGGCTGAGCCTAGGCAGATGGAGCAGAGGCGGGGGTAGGGGTCCGCATCCCGCACTTTTCAGACCTCATCCTCCTTCATTATATCTTTGGCTTTGCTCGCTGACTGTGGGGAAATCCTAGTTATTGTTCCCATTGAATTGATGGGGGACTGAGGTTCCTGCGAGTTTAATGACCTCTTAAAAGTGGCCTAGGTTGCTGTCTTTGAACTCCGTTACCATTGACTTCTCGTGCTGGTCAGGTTGGATCCTGAGGGGACAGACCCTGTATGTGAGTTTGATAGGGGATGAGAGGTCCTATAGATCCCAGGGTCCCTGTTTTAAGGAATCTGAGGCTGCAGCCGTGTCCGGTGGCAGGAAGCCTGAAGAAATTGTTTTTTTCTCTTGTGTAAGTCCCTGTGAGTCCCCTTTCCCCACTCCTCTTCCCTTGCTCCTCATCAATCTGAGGACACACCAGCTGAGGAGTCAGGTCTCTACCTTCCCCACATCCCTGGAAGGGATAATTCCTGGAAGAGCTGAAGATTGGACCAGCAATACCCCTTGAGCCTCCCTCTACCCTCTCAGGACACTCTTGATCTGGGGTGAGGTCAGGTAATCTTGTGACCTCTGCCCTGTGCATACAAACTCATTTCTCTTAGCAGCCTGTCATCCAAGGGTTCAGCACACACCATGTACTTAATGTGTGCCTGTAAAATGAATAAGAAGATGACTTTAGTTCTTATCCTTTGAGGTTTCCCAGCTTCTGCTCCTCCCAACCCAAGGGAAGGTGATGTGTTTTTGCCTGGATGGGTGGAGAGGAAAGATGAAGCTTTTCTTCTTCTGGTAACTGGCCTGTTGGGGAGCCCTGAGTGGACAAGGCTGCTTGTGTCCCTGTTAGTTAGTGACCACCTCCCTACTTCCTGATGCCACTTTTCAGGAGCAACCAGGCTGTCTGTTCCTTCCAGGCCAGGCCCTCCATTTCTGTGGGATGATAGATAAGTCACTTCCCCTCTCAGCCTGCATTTCCTCTTCTATAAAATATAGGGCCTAGCCTTCTCCCCCACGCCTGGCACTATGATTGTGGCCCCTTCTCTTCGGGTGGGTTGAGGTAAGGGGCAAAGTCGGGCCACTGTGATTTGCTGTGGTTTCTTTCTGGCTGTCACGGGTGGGGCTGCTGACTGCCCTGGGCTCCTGCTGGGAAGACTGGGCTCTCTAGCAAGGCCCCTCCCCTGCTCCCAGAGGATGTGGGTCAGGATTACTCCATCTCCTGATATGCTCTGTCCCCCAATTAAAGGAAGTTCTCCTGGGGCCTCCTGGTCTCAGCCCAGCCTTGTGCTCCCTCTGGTTCTTAATCTCTAACATTGATACTTTCTGACTTCCAGATACCAAAAGTTCTTGAGTATCTGGGCCATCTAAAGTCTTGCCTGCTTTACTTCCTCCCCGACCTCAAAAACCTCACCCACACAGGGAAGAGCTCTCTATTGCTTGCCTGTCATTGGCATCCCTAACTCTCCTTTCCTCCCACTTCCAGTACCTTTCCCTTGACTCTCTAGGCCTCAGTACCCATCTTTGTTTCTCTGAAACTCCTCTTAGATCATAGTAACCTGCTCTGCCCCATGACCCCAGACCATCACATCACCTCACTTCCACATGGCTGCTTTTAGCTCTCAGTTAGCTTTGAGCTTCCTTGCCATACCCCAGCCACTCTGGGGCCAAGCCCCCTCAGCCTCAGTGATATCTGAGTGGGCTGGTAGTCCCTGTCAGGCTGACGCTTGATGAGGAAGTACTAAAACTGGGCATTGAATATCTGCCCACCTGTGTTCTCTGGCTCTCAGTTTCACCATCTGTAAAATAAGAGAGAGGGATTTGGGTCCAAAGTGATGATGTATGTACAAAAGGATTTGTTATCCCTGGGGTAAGTTTGGAAACCTTGGATATAGGTTTTTCTGTATCTGTCCTCAGACTCTGTCCCACTCCCTTCCCATAGTCATGCCTTTCCTTGGTTCTAGGCTGCCCACTTGTCTGTCGCATCTTGATATAGGTAGGGCAGTATCCTGTTTCAGCACTGGTTTTGTAACATTGGGCTACTCTCTTGCCCTTTCTGGGCTGTACTTTCACTTTCTGGTAGTGAAGGGGTTGAGAGTTTAGGGTCTTCAATGCTCTTTTTGCCTTTCCTTCTCTGGGCCAGGGTATACCTGGCCCAGCACCCTATCTACCTCCCACCTTCTATAAGGGCTGCCTAGACTGACCCAAGGCCCTACCCCATTTGGGGCTCCCTCAAGGTAAATGTGATGTCTCTCTCAACATATAGGAACCCCTCAAGCAGGGGATAACCACCTAGCCCCCAAACTGGGGACTTCCTTTATTCAGGGTCTGCTTTGCCCCCAATAGACTGTGCTTACTCTCTGATTGCTTCATCACAGGGTTCTGACATGGTGGGTTCTTAGTACAGTTTGATCAGAGCATCACTGGGATTAGTCTGAGGGCAAAGGTTGTCATAGCTGCCTGTGATGTGAGATGCCAGAAGGTTTCTTCTGGTCTCTGTCTCTGTCATAAGTTTGATGAGGCTTTCCATCTGTCCTCTTCTGTGCACAGGGTCAGAGTGACCTGGCTTTTTTTTCCTTTTTAATGAATGACCCAGACATCTTTTCATGTCAGATATAGGGAAGTCAGGCTGGTGTCCAGGGAGCCTTAGGAGCCACTCACAGTGGGTAGGAGAGGGCCAGGGTGAGGATAGATGGGAGGGGAGAGGGCAAAATGAGAACAGTGGTCAGCTGGTCAATAAGAGGAGAGGAGGCTGAGAAACTGGGCTGAGCTGGACAAAACCTCCCCTGTGAACCCTGCCAAGGGGAGGGGCCCCTTGTTAAAACTTACTGGGTCATAGCCAGGCCCTCTAGTGGGAGGAGGTCTGAGGGGCTGGATGGAGGGTGGAGGCAAGTAGGAACATGGCCTCCAGCCAGGCCTCCTGTAGGATGACTGGGCTTTGATTCACACCATCTGCAGCCCCTCTATTGTCCCCTCCCCTGTCCCAAAGAGTCCTCCTGCCCAGTTCTTATCCTGGTCCCACCCATCCTTCCAGGCCTTGGGTTTACTCCTGTAGCTAATCTAGTCATGTATACTAGGCACTGGTGTGCTACACCCATGACCTAAGTGACAGTGATCAAGGAACAAGGTTACAGCCTTGGCCCCCAGAACTTCCAGCTGGTAGGGAGTTTTCACGTGTCAGGCAGTGGGTGAGGCAGGCAGGAGAAGTCATAAGTGGAGTGAGTTAGAAAGGGATGTGAGATTTCATGGGGTAGTAGTGAGCCCCCCAAAAAAGTTAAGGCAAGAGGATTATAAACTTGAGGCCAGCCTGGACAACTTAGTGAGACCCTGTCTCAAAATAAAAAGGGGTGAGGATATAGTTCAGTAGTAGAGGACCCCTAGATTTAATCTCTAGTACCACAAAATACACCCATTCTAAGAATGCCCATCCAGTGCATGGAGGGTCCAGGAGCTAGCCAGCAGGGGTATAGCTGCTGATAGGAGGGTTATGAGTGTGTGAAATGTAGGGCTGGGGATTCCCATTTCCCAGTTCTTCCTTTCAAGTCTTGGGCCCTATGACAGTCTGCCAGGGTCATTGAGGGGCTTAGCCCCTGGGGGGTTCCATAGTCCATGGGGGCTAAACATATATCAGTTGTATTGTGGGAGGGGAAGTTTGGGTGCAAGATAGTATGGTAGAGCCTCCCCCTTCTATTTATTTAAAAAATTTTTGGTACTGGGAATTGAACCCAGGAGTGTTTTACCACTCGACTATATCCCCACCCTTTTTATTTTGAGACAGGTTCTCTCTAAGTTGCTTAGGGTTTTGTTTATTGCTAAGGCTGGCCTCAAACTTGTGATCTTCCTGCCTCAACCTCCTGAGTCGCTGGGATTTCAGGCATGTGCCACCATAGCCAGTGAGCTTCTTGCTTCTTATTAAAGGGCCTTGAAGTCTCCTCTTACCCTGGACAGGGTGGTTTTAACTGGCCAGTTTTCCACTTCCTCATTCCTAAATCCAGGAAGACCATTAGGAACCATCCCACTTGCCCCATTTCTCTTTCCATCTATAACTTAGGGAGAGGCCCTTAGGGAGCTCCCCACATTCCTGGAGCTTCTGGAGATCTAAGGCCAGCAGCTTTAGTCCAGAAAGGCCTTGTCCAGAATTGGGAACCAGAACCAGGGAGAAGGTCCCTGAGAGCCAGAGGAGATGGCAATGACAACAACAGTAACATGAATGACAGCTGTCATTTACAAATTTAGTGTATCCTAGGAACTGCTTTGTATGCCTTATCTTCATTCAGCAATAGACATGTCTTGAGCACTTACTATGTGGCAGGCATTATACAAAACAGAAATCCCTGCCCGCTTGGGGTCTTATTTCTTACAACTTCTATTTTTTTCTTTGGTACCCAGGGGTGCTTAACATCTGAGTCACATCTCCGGCCCTTTTTATTTTTTATTTTGAGACAGGGTCTTGCTAAGTTGCTTAGAGCTTTGCTAAGTTGCTAAGGCTGGATTTAAACTCGCTATCCTCCTGCCTCAGCCTCCTGAGCCACTGGGATTACAAGCATGTGCCTCCATACCTGGCTTCACAGATATTTCTTGAGCGTCCAGAATGTGTAAAAGAAAAGGGCTGAGTGCAGGGGACCTAGAAGTGAATCTAACCGCATCTGGTAGGCATGTTCCTGGCACCCAGCCACCCAAGCAAGTAATGGACAGGGTACACAGTGTCAGTGACTGACCCAGGGATACAGTGTGGCTGCCCTGTCCAGGGGAAGGGCTTAAATTAACTCCTGTACAAACTGGTTGAAAGAAGAGTTCAATAAAAAAAAAAATAATAAATAAATAAATAAAAAGAGTTCTTAGAACCAGGTGGGATGGTTACCCTACGATCCTGGCTTGGGGTGTGGATGAAGGTAGAAGAGCCTCCTACTTTGGGGCAGGAAACTAGGGCTGCAGAGTGGGTTAGAGATGCAGGTTGCTACTTTTCCAATCTCTGTCTTTCTTTTGGGAGGCTTTTATGGGCCACCCCAACATGGACCAGTTCCCCACTGTCCTCTCATTGGCCCCTATTTGTGTCCTTTATACCATTTCACACTGGTTTATGTGTTTGTGTCTGGGTGTTTATTTGTTCAGTTCTTCTTTCATCCTGCTGTGAGCCCTATGAGAACAGAGACCTTGTTACTTTTCTTCCATGACATAAGTGCTCAGTGCATCATTTGTTGACTGGTTGAATGAACACATGGAGATAGAAGGGTGGAATGGGTAGAACATAGGTCATGGAGACCTCCTTTATTTTTATTTTTCTGTTTTTTTTGATACCAGGGATTGAACACAGGGGCTTAACCACTGAGCCACATCCCCATCCCTTTTTATTGTTAATTTTGAAACAAGGTCTTGCTAAGTTTCTCAGGGCCTCCCCAAGTTGCTGAGGCTGGCTTTGAACTTGTGATCTTCCTGCCACAGTCTCCTGAACGACGGGGATTACAGGCATGTGTCACTGTGCCTGGCAATGTACTTTAAACTCTGGCTCTGTCCCTTTGGCTATGGGACTCTGGCAAGTCTTCTCTTTTCTCTAAGCTTCAGTTTGCTATAACATTTGGATAATGATACTATCACCTTGGAGGGTAGTTATAAAAGGAAATGAGATTGTGTGTATGAAATGTGAAACAGTGGTTCAATGAAAGGTGGTAATTGCTGGGCTGGGGATGCGGCTCAAGTGGTAGTGCGCTCGCCTGGCATGCGCAGGGCTCTGGGTTCGATCCTCAGCACCACATAAAAATAAATAAAGATGTTGTGTCCACCGAAAACTGAAAAATAAATATTAGAAAAAATTCTCTCTCTCTCTAAAAAAAGAAAGAAAGGTGGTAATTGCTATTATTATTGTTATTATTTATTTTTTTAAATATTTTTTTTAGTTTTCGGTGAACACAACATCTTTATTTTATTTTTATATGGTGCTGAGGATTGAACCCAGTGCCGCGCGCATGCCAGGAGAGCATGCTACCACTTGAGCCACATCCCCAGCTCTATTGTTATTATTTCTGATATTGGTTAAGAATATCTTGCCTTAGAGGTATTGGGGACCCTCACATAGGATGATGTCATTAGGTACCCAACACAGACACACATCTCTTGTGTTGCCTGTGGACCATGTGGTAGCAGCCCTCATGGCATGTCTTGGTGCTGTCTTACAGGGTTTGAAGGAGGGAAGTGAGAAGCCTCGGGGAGCTCGGACAGCAGACAAGGCTGGCTGGATCAAGAAGAGCAGTGGGGGCCTCCTGGGGCTCTGGAAAGACCGCTACCTGCTCCTCTGCCAAGCCCAGCTGTTGGTCTACGAGAACGAGGTGAGGCCCTTTTTGGCCCTGTTACTGGGGATTCTGGGGCAGAAGGCAAAGTAAGGGCAGCCAGGCCAGTAGGAGGACGCTGGGCCTAGGGCTAAAAGACCTCCTCCATTTTTGATTTGCTGTGCCACCCTGAGTGAGTGCCTAATCTCCTCTGGGTCTCCATTTGTAACATGGGATGATGCCTCTAGGGTTCCTGGATGAAAACTCTTTGAACTATATGTGCAACTAGTGTGAGTCTCTTCAACTGTAGGCCTGTGTACTGGAAATTCCTGTCTCTGGGCAAAGTTCCATATAAGTGAATGTTCCAGAAAAACATTCAGTGATGGTTATAGAAATAATAATTAATACTTCATACTTGTTTGGAACTCTTACATACCTCTCTTCACAATGGGAATAAGAGTGGTCAACAGGGCTCAGATGGTGGATCGCTCACCTAGCACATGTGAGGCGCTGGGTTCGGTACTTAGCACCTCATAAAAGTAAATAAATAAAATAAAGATATTAAAAAAAGAATAGTCATCATTTATATTTTACAGAATTTAATGTTGAGGTTCAGGGTGGCAAGATGACAGTGAATTCAGCATCTCACAGTGAATGGAGGAGTCAGGTCTAGAACTAAATTCAGTGCCCTTTCTACCAAGAGACACCAGCAAGGAAAACCCATCAGTCTGTTCTGTACCATCAGACTCTACTTTTAGCTTTTCTTTCTCCTTTAACTTCAAGCTGCTGCCGCCACTTCTGCTTGTGCCTCCCACAGTCCTCACATCTTCCCACTTCAGGATCTCGTGCCCCTCCTTGTTTCAGCAGGCTTGAAATTCGGACATCCAAGGATACTAAAATTGTGTGTTAAGAGTCAGTAAAACTCTAGGTGAAGACTCAGGAAGAAAGGTGGCTTTTTCTTGTTGATGCAGTTTGGGTTCTGGGTTGAGGCTATCAGAGGGTCCATCCACTGTCTGATAGCAGGAATACATGAGGGTAGAAGGGGAAGCCTGCCCCTCTTCTTTATCAGTCTCTCTCAACCTTCCTTAAAGTATCTGGCAAATTCATAATTGTCCCAGGTCCATAAAGACTTAGCAACCTGGATCTAAGCATTTAAAGAAGCTGCCTTTGAGAATCACCTTGCCTGTCCTGAGTCCCTAGGCTCCTGGAGCTGGGGTATCAGTGAAGCAGTGGGAAGAGAGCAAGGAGATAAGTGTGTGCAGACAGTCCCCCAGATGTTCTGTACTGCGGCTGTCACCAAATTAGGATGTGCCACGGCTGAGAATGTGGCAGCAGAGGGATATTTTTATAAATAAAGAGGGTTGTCACAGCTTCCCCCAGTACCAGCTGCTACAAGAGTTGAGTGACAATCTCTCAGCTGTCAGCCTGTCAGGCACTGCCAGACTTGTCCTGGACTCCGGCTCTACATCTGGCCATGCCTGGGAAGCAGGAAGGATTTTATGTCCCCCAAACATGAAAAATCCAAATGATACCTTTTTTTTTTTTTTAAGATCACTTATTAAAAACTTTCTTTCAAGAACTTAGCATTCGGCCGTGGGGGAGCTTGGCCCAGGAGTAGGAATTGAAAAATGCTTATTAGTTCAGTTTCTCTTTCTGATGTAAGGAACCAGCTGAGTATGGATGGCTCTTGACTGTTTCTTTGCTGTCAGAGGCTGATGTTCCAAAGATGCTGCCCCCGCCCAGTGTCTGCTGCTTTACTCTTTTTTTTTTTTTTTTCTCTGAGCTGCAGAAGGATCAGATGATTCAGCACTTCAGTGTGAGAAGAGACCCAGGACAGGCAGCTATGGGAAGTTGGGTGGCAGAGATGGACTGACTTTTTGTCCCTAGGCAGAGGAGGGTGCGTTTGGGCCAGTAGTTGCTGAGTTGGGGAGGCCTGTGGACATGAGGCACAGTGAGCTACTCTCACTGGAGCTTTCCTGTTGGATCCCCAGGGAGGAGGAGACTTCCTGGGGTCTTACTCTGAGCCAGGCACTCATTGTAGCACACTGGTCATATGTATGTCCCTCTTTAGGGCTGTCTCTTGAAGAGTACCAAGGGAGGGACAGAAAGGAGGTAGACACACAGAATAGGGTAGAACGAGCCCGCTGAGCAGGGACATAAACCTGTGCTACTCTATAGTGGGGCTCAGTGCCCCTGGCACCTAGTAGGGTAACTGTACCTGGCAGGTGCTGTGCAGATGTTTACTTGCCCCAAGAAGTAAATGATGATGAGAGACTTCAAAGAAGGGAGAACACCAATGCTTAGGGGAATGTACGGGACAGCATGGGAGCTACCTAGAGCATTTTTCTGGCTCTTGGGCTTCATGGAGGAACCTGGAAGGGATTGGATTTTAGGGATTAGAAAGAGATATATGGAAACAAAAATGGGAAAAGATACCTGATTGAACCTGGATAGAGAGATCAGGTAATATTGGCTTCTAGTCTCCTTTCCCTGAGAGGCAGAAGAGAGTAAAACAGTGGTTATCCACCTGAACTGTACAATCATCTGCTTTTACTGAGATCTGGGCCTCACCCCATGAGATCCTAGTATCATCAGTCTGTAATGTTGCCTGGGTGTTGTTTTTTTTTTTTTTTTTTTTTTTTTTTTTGGTAGTGAGGATTGAACTCAGGGACACTGAACTACCGAGCCATATTGTATTTTTTATTTAGAGACAGGGTCTCACTGAGATGCTTAGTGCTTCACTGTTGCTGAGGCTGGCTTTGAACTTGCAATCCTCCTATCTTAGCTTCCCAAGCTGCTGGGATTACAGGAATGTGCCACCACACCTGACGGGTATTGAGAATTTTTTTTTAATATTTTTTAGTTGTAGTTGGACACAATACTTTTATTTTATGTGGTGCTGAGTATTGAACCCAGGGCCTCGCACTTGCTAGGCGATCGATCTACTGCTAAGCCACAACCCCAACCTGGGTATTGAGGTTTTTAATAACTTCCAGGCTACCAAAACTGAGAACCTCTGGTGAAGATAAGCGGTTCTCAAACTTTCTTATGCATCAAGATCTCTTGGAGGGCTAGTTAAAATTCATATTTCCAAGCCTGTGCTCTTAAGTTTCTGATTCAGTGGAGATTGGACTTCAGAATTTATATTTCTAGCAAGTTCTTGGGTGGTGCCAATGCTGCTGCCCCAAATGCCACACTGGGAGGACCACTGGTATAGAGTAACCTATTGAGAAGGAACTGATTTAGTCACTGACTGTGCTTGGGAGGAATATAGTGTGCTAGAAAGACCCTAGCCTGGGGTCAGGATGTGTGTCTGTGTCCCTAGAGCAAATCACTTCATCTCCAGGCCTCATTCTCCTCACCTGTCAGATAAGACAGATACTGAGTTACTGGGGATTGAACCCATGGGCGCTTAACCACTGAGCCATGTCCCCAGCCCTTTTTATTTTTTTAATTAAAAAAAATATTTATTTATGTATCTTTAGTTTTAGGTGGATATATTAGTTTGTTTTTATGTGGTGCTAAGGATCGAACCCAGTGCCTCATGCATGCTAGGCAAGCACTCTACCACTGAGCCACCACCCCAGCTCCTTTTTTAAATTTTTTATTTTGAGACAGGGTCTCACTAAGTTGCTTAGGGCCTCACTGAGTTGCTGGAGCTGGCCTCAAACTTGTGGTCCTCCTGTCTTAGCCTTCCAAGCTGGGATTACAGGTGTGTGACACTGTGCCTGGCAGTTCTAGGTTTTAAAGGTTCTTGGGTGGCTCTGGAGAATCAGGGAGGCAAAAGTGCTCACTAAGTGTTAGACATCAGCAAGTTTCCTTAACTTTAACTTGTCATCCAGACTCCAAAGCACTGTACTCCCCTTTTCCCCAAAGGACCTGCTTCTGCTTCCCAGGAAGTTGTTTTATCTGGGTCTTCCCTGGAAGAGGAACCAGTTGACCACCACTGAGGGAGGAGCTTGTCCCAGGCAGCTTGCTAGACAGGCACCTGATGGGTAGTGCCCAAGGAGAAAACACTTATATGTCAGGGATAGTGGGCAGAAAGGCAGCCTGGACAGTGGTAGAGGATGGGACTGTCTTGGCCACTGACCTGCCTAGCATTGAGGCCTCAGAATGGCATGCAAGGGGACAGGGTGGGATGCTTTGAATGAGCTTTTACCCTCTTTTTTGTGCGTGGCCTGCAGCCTGGGATGAGAGGCCACTCACCCTAACCAGGGATCAGCACAGGAAGATGCCAAATTGGGGAGCAATCACAGGATCACTGTGCTGAGTTGGAAAGTCTTCTTTCTCCCAATTTTGTGACATCCTGCATCTCTTTTCCAAGGCTACCTCTTACACAAATCTGTGGCCTCTGGTCCTGCACAGGCTTCCTTCTAAGTCTTTTCAGCCATCCCTTTTCCCCCTCTGGCTTTAGGCCACTGGATTCAGCCCTTAGACAAATACCCACCCCTGGGCTTGGGGCTCTATTTCTTGCCTGGATGGTAAGCTTTGAGGGCTTCCTTCCAGTCAGCACATACTGAGCATTGTCTACTTGCCAGGGTCTGAATCCACAATTTGGTGACGTGATGTCCTTCCTGAGTGGGTTCAGGGTCTGGGCATGGCCTGGGTTTTGAGTCTTAGTGGGGTTTGGCTCTCATCAGCTCATGTCCCTTTTGTCTTTCTCCCCAGGATGAACAGAAGTGTGTGGAGACAGTAGAGCTGGGTAGCTATGAGAAGTGCCAGGACCTCCGTGCTCTCCTCAAACGGAAACACCGGTTTATCCTGCTAAGATCCCCAGGGAACAAGGTAGGGATATGCCCACTTCTGTCTGCCTCCCTCCAGGCCAGATTCTGCTTGGGAATACCACCCCTGGGTGGCTGAACCAGTCTGGGCTTTGAAATGGAGCCTGCAGGTTTCTTATTGAGTTGGCTGAGGCCCAAACCCAGCGACTACCACAGGTTAGACCTTCTACTCATTTTGTCTTGGAGGCTCCTCAGCCCCTGGTTGATGGGAGATGCACTTAGGGCTGGACTGAGATCCCTCCTCTCCTCTTCTTCTTTTAGGCCCTGAGGCCTCTATTCCAGGCTGTGGTTGGAAGTAGTCACTGGAAGAGGGGCTCTTGGTCCTTCTCTGCACCCTGAACTCACAGGAGGCCCAGGGCTAAGGCAGGAGAGCTGTGGGTGAGGTCTCTAGCTCTGCAACACCCTGTCAGGTAGGAGTAAGGATGTGGCCTCTCCTTTATCCCAGGCCTTCCTGGGTAGCCTCTTCAGGTCCCCTCCTGGACCCAGAACTAAGAGGCCCACAGCCCCCAGCTTTCCTCCCCTTTTCCTTTCCTTTTTTGACTGTAGCTGGAGAAAGTTTCTTGCCTGAGAGAGTCTTCCTTGGGACCTGGTTTGTGCACAGATGAGGTTTACTGTTTGCACCACTCTGACTGGTAGTCTGGGGGTGTTGACACCTGGTACAGTTTCACAGATGTTAGGAGGGAATTTGGGTTTGAGGCTGGCGCATGCAGCACCTCTTGCCAGCTCTAAGTAAGCTCTCGCCACACCCACCCTAACCTCTGTATGTCATGTGGAGCCTTGCAGAGTGGGGCTGAGTCACAGGTTGGCTGCTGGGCAGTAGGTTTCATCTGGGCCTGCTGGAGGCCATTTTGTTTCTCTTCTAGTTTTAGGGGTCAGGAGCTCTGTTCTTTGTAGTCCTGGGGACTTGGACCCTGGAAGAGGAGGAGACCGTGATGCTTTACTTGTTAACCCTTTATCCTACTCTGCTGGGGGTTGGGCAGAGAAGCAAGCAAGTCTGCACTGGAGAGGGCTACAGAGCTCTGACTCTGGGGAGTTGGAGGATGTGCCCCAGGGCAGGGGCAGGTTTATAGTGTCCTGAGGATTCCTGTGGCTGGGCCCAGGTTCACCTAACATCTGCTGCTTAGGGCTCTTTGAGGAAAAGAGGGTCACATTTTGATCTTTCAGGCTCTGGATCTTTCAGCCCCTACCCTGTCCTGGAGACCCACTCACTGTCTCTCCGAGTGGGCGCTGTATGTATGTGTGTGTTTGAGATACAGAGTATGATGCATGTGAAGATCTGTGTGGGCACCTCCTTAGGTGTGGTTGAGTGACTCCCTGGCCTTGGTTCTGCTTGGGGTCTGCTGGGTTCTGTTGAGTGCCTCCTAGTATGTGGATGTGTGTGGGTGCTTGCCTCTATGTTCTGTCCATGCTGCTTTGTGGGCCATCTCCATTCTCCAGCTCTTAGAACCAGCTGGTGGTGGGACTAGGAGGGAGGTGGGGCCCAGCTCCGTTGGGATAGCACCTTCAGGGAGGCCTGTTTGTGCAGCTGCACTTTCAACTTCTTTGTCCAGCACCCTCCTCCCATTCTCCAACCCCGCTAAGAGTTCAAGTTGACTCTGGGTGACTCTGGGAACAGGGCAGTCAGTTGGAAGATGGAGCAGTGGAATAAGTGGTGGTGGCCACCTGAGGGAAAGGTACAGTCTGGCTCTAGCTCAAGGCCCCTGACCCTTGCCTCCCCAGGTTGTGGACCTGGCCCAAGGCACCACCTGCATCCTCTCACCCTCCCACCCTCCCGCCTTTCCCATCGCCCTGGGTGTTCCTGAGGTCCTCAGTGCAGCCTCCAGCCGGCCAGGAGGTCATGTGACCCTGGCTGTCTGGTCCTGAGGCCGCTTTTTTCCCCTCTAATCAAATAAACAAAGACTCCAGTGTCTCACATACCCCTCTCCCCCTGCCTCTCCATCCCCACACCCCTGCCCATGAGGTCACAAGCAGCCGCTGCCAGGAAGCAGGGTGGCCACTGCTGGGCCTTGCTGCCCTGCTGGTCTTGGCCAGCTTGGCTCTTTCCTCTTTCCTGCCTCCTTTCCCTCCCTCCCCCACTTTTCCTCTCTGCCATTCTGCCCTTCCCCCTTCCCCAGGCCTTGTGGGCCTATTCTGTGGCCAGTCTTATTAGCATCTGAGCTCCCAGCAAGGCCAGTGTTCCTGGGACTTCCTGAAAGGGCTTATGGTAGGAACCTGTGTAGCCTGTGGCTTTTCAGGACATAACTTCTTGGTATTTGTGTTAATCATCCCGATTCCAGTCATCCTTGTGGAATGCCTGGCTCTTTGAGCCAGGATTACAGGATGTCTTAGGGTAGAGCTTGGTCCCCTGTAACCTTGCATTTCCTCTCCCAGTTGAGCAAACCCCTTCCACCAGCCTGCATCTGGTGGGCTGGGCCAGTGGGGAAGGGGCTACAAGGTGAGTTGGATCCATATTTCTGTTCTTGTCCCAAAGTAGTAAAGACAGCCATCTGACTCTTTCCTGCTCCACTCTTACTCCCTTGCTACTGCCATGCATCAGAGTCTTTCCAAGCTTTTAGGGATGCTAAGGCCTATACCAGGGAAGAGCGTCACCATCTTGGAGCCCTGAATAGGAACAGAAGTTGGGGTCAGAGGTGGTGGTCCTAGACACTTTTCCCATCACAGGATTAGGTGGCCTTTGTAGCCCCTGAACGGAGCACAGTCTCTCCTTGAGCCCCAGCATCTCTGATGGCTGAACTGAGAGGCAGTTGCCAAGGTGCCCTGGGGTTTCTGACTTAACTGCAGATTTGCTGCCAGGATTGAATTTACCCTGGTCATGCAAATGAGCATTTGGCTATGCCTGGTGTGGAGGGGGGGGCACCTAGGCCCTGTATGAGGAGGAGGCTCAGTGGCCAGGAGGAAGTTATATAATGAGGATGCTGAGGGGGCCAGGCTGACTGTACTGTGGTGTTACATAACTGGGAGAGTGGCAGGAGGGAAGGCGCTATCTAACACCAGGGTGGGGGATGGGCAGATTGGCCACTGCCAATAAAGAACTAGGGCATCTTGAGGTCAGAGTAGGCAGTGGCCCAAAAACAAGGCAAAGGAAGGAACCTTGGGCCAGTTCATTTATTGGCTCATTCATTCATTAACTATTTTCTGAATACCTACTATGTGCCAGGGCCTGGCTTTAATCATGTTTAATATCCTCAGCATTGCTTTGTAGTAGGACATGTAATCCCATTTTCTAGATGACAAAATTGAGACTATTTATCCAGAAGAAAGGCAACCCGTTAATTCCTACTACTGGGGAATTTCTTCACTCTGCAAAGCTCCAGATTCAGTATTTATTTATTTATTTGTTTTAATTTTAAAAATGTTTTAGTTGTTGATAGACCTTTATTTTATTTATTTATTTTTATATGGTGCTGAGGATCGAACCCAGTGCCTCACACATGCTACGCAAGTGTTCTATCACTGAGCCACAACCCCAGCCCCAGATTCAATACTTGAGATTTATCTTTTTTTTTTTTTTTAACTTAAAAAAAAAACTTCTAAAACAATTGTGGTCAAAACATATAACATAAAATTTACTGTCTTAACCATTTAAAGTATAGTTAGTTCAGTGTCACATTCACAACATACTACAGCTGTTATTATCATCCATCTCCAGAACTCTTTTTTCATCTTATAAAACTAAGCTGAAGCCAGACACAATGGCACACACCTGTAATCCCAGCACTTGGAAGGCTGAGGTAGGAGGATCACAAATTTGAAGCCAGTCTCAGAAACTCAGCAAGGGCCTGTCTCAAAATAAAAAATCAAAACAAAAACAAAAACCACTAAGCTTCCATTCCTTCTTCTCCCAGCTCTTGTAAACGATATTCTATTTTCTTTATGATTTTTGACTACTTTTATATCTTGTATAGGTAGAATCATATAGTCTATGGCTTTTTGTGCTAGCTTATTTCACTTAGAATAATGTTTTCCAGGTTCATCTATATGTAGCATGTGTCAGAATTTCCCTCCTGTTTAAGGCTGAATAATATTCTATTGTATGTATTCACTACATTTTGCTTATCCATCTATCCACTGATGAACACTTGGACGGTTTCCATGTTTTAGCTATTGTGAATAATGCTGCTGTGAACATGGGTATATAAATTAGATACATCTTTTATTTATTTATTTTTTATGGTGCTAAGGATTGAACCCAGGGCCTCACACATGTTAAAACACTGAGCCATGGAGCTACCTTGTAACATATTTGTACAAGCACATACATAATTTAGTCAACTTTTTTCTTTTTCTGTTTTTTTTTTTTAGTGCTAGAGATTAAATCCAGGAATATTTATCACTGAACTACATACCTGATCTTTTAAATTTTTTACTTTGATGATGATGATGATGATGATGATGATGATGATTTTTAGTTCCAGGGATTAATCCAGGGGTGCTTAACCACTGAACCCCATCCTTAGTCCTTTTTTAATTTTGAGAAAGGGTCTCCCTAAATTGCTTAGGGCCTCACTAAGTTGCTGGGGCTGTCTTTTTTTTTTTTGGTACCAGGGATTGAACTCAGGGACACTTAACCATTGAGCCACATCCCCAGCCCCATTTTGTATTTTATTTAGAGACAGGGTCTCACTGAGTTGCTTAGTGCCTCGCTTTTGCTAAGGCTGGCTTTGAACTCTCCATCCTCCTGCCTCAGCATCCCAAGCTGCTGGGATTACAGGTGTGCACCACTGTGCCCTGCATGCTGAGGCTGTCTTTAAACTTGTGATCCTCCTGCCTCAGCTTCCCAAGTTGCTGGAATTACAGGTGTGTGCCACTACACCTAGCTTATTTTTTATTTTAAGATAGGTTCTTGCTAAATTGCTGAAGTTGGTCCTGAACTTGCTGTCCTCCTGCCTCAGCCTCTTCAGTTGCTGGGATTACAGGCATGCAAAACTGCACCTGGCAATGTGGTCAATTTCATTTCCAGTACTTCTCCTTTCCCTCCCCTCCCCCTTCTTCCTGGTCCTCTTCCTCTACTCTAAAGGTCTCCCTTCAAATTTTATGAGATTTCCCCCACCCTGCTTTTTTCCCTTTTTTTTCCCCTCTAGCTTCCACATATGAGAGAAAACATATGACCTTTGACTTTCTGAATTTGACTTATTTCACATAATGTTCTCAAGTTTCATCCATTTTCCTGCAAATGTATGATTTCATTCTTTATGGCTGAATAAAACTCCATCGTGTATATATGCCACATTTTCTTTATCTATTCAATCCACTGATTTATCCACCTAGGCTGGTTCCATAGTTTGTCAATTGTAAATTGTGTTGCCATAAACATGGGTATGCATGTGTCAATGAGGCATGGTGACTTTAATTCCTTAGGATAAATGCTGAGGAGTGGTATAGCTGGGTCATATGATGGTGCCGTGCCTAGTCTTTTGAGGAACCTCCATATTGATTTCCATAGTGGTTGTAGTAATTTACAATCTCCCCAGCAGTGTAAAAATGGTGCTCGCTTCGGCAGCACATATACTAAAATTGGAACGATACAGAGAAGATTAGCATGGCCCCTGCGCAAGGATGACACGCAAATTCATGAAGCGTTCCATATATTTTTTTAAATCAATAAAAAAAGTGTAAAAATGTTTGTTTTTCTCCATATTCTCTTCAGCATTAATTTGTTTGTATTCTTGAAGGCTGCCATTCTGAACTGCAGATAAATTAAGTCTCAGTGTAGTTTTAATTTGCATTTTCCTACATACATATTTTTAAATGATCTTCTTAGCTCCCTGAGGCAGATTATGGTGGTATTCTCTCTCTCTCTCTTTTTTTTTTTTTTTGAGGGTACTGGGGATTGAACTAAGGGGCACTCGACTATTGAGCCACATCCCCAGCCCTATTTTGTATTTTATTTAGAAACAGGGTTTCGGTGAGTTGTTTAGTGCCTTGCTATTGCTGAGGCTGGCTTTGAATTCGTGATCCTCCCGCCTCAGCCTGCCAAGCCACTGGGATTACAGGCATGTACCACTGCATGCGGCAGTATTCCCTTTTATAGATGAGAAAATTGAGGCCCAAGTTCAGATAACTGTAAGTGGTTAAGACCCAGCTGGGAAGCTCTACCGCTCTCTCTACTGCATGAGGTAACTTCATACTTTCCTCTCATCTCCTCTCTGGCCATTAGGTTTGGTAGGGACAGAACTCCAAGCTGCCTCTCCAGAACTCCTGCCTGTAGTGAGGAGGGATTGGGGTTGATGTGGGTGGGAAGCTGGGAGTTAGAAGGGATTACTTTAGACTGCTTTAGTCAAGTGCCCTCCCATCTGTGGAGCCTCAGTTTCTTCATCTGTATGATGGGGGCTAGAGTTGACTCCCCCAATGACCTGATTATGGTCTGATTCAAGGCCAGAAAGGAGACCCTGGGACTTTAGGAGTTGGGACATATTTTTTGGTGGGGCCAGGTTTGGGTGTAGGGCTCTTTACAGAGCTTGAGGGGGGTTGTGTTTCCAGTAATACTTAATTATGGGCACCCCTCATGCCTGTCACCTCTGTCATTATAATCAAGCTGGCATGGGTGTAGGCTGGGACAGTGATAGAGTTCAATTTCCAGTACCAACAAAACAAAACAAAACAAAACAAAAACAAACAAACATAAAGTGAACTGAAGCCCAGGGATCAGGCAGCTGGCTTGGGGGAGTCCAGATTCAAGCTCTTTCCACAGGATAAGGTTGATGCCAGTCCAAGCCTCCAGTAGCTATGGGCTAGGGGAGGGCCCCTTCTCTGCTTCTTTCCCTACCCTCGCCTTCAAATGCCGATGTCAGACCTGTTGTGGGGTTGTTTTGGTTTGACTTTGGAAACTGGCATGAAAAAGTGACCATAAATGTGAACTCTATAAAATATCTACCGTCCATCCCTTGCAGGTCAGTGACATCAAATTCCAGGCACCCAGTGGGGAAGAGAAAGAATCCTGGATCAAAGCCCTCAATGAAGGGATCAGCCGAGGCAAGAACAAGGCTTTTGATGAGGTGCGATTCAGTCCTATGGCCAGGTTCTGGGCTGGCCACCATGTGTGGTCTGGGAGAGGTCCCTGCCCACCTTGTCCCAGACTACTCCTCATTTACATCACTGCTACAGACACCTGGGGCACACTTCATTTAGCCTTCATAACAGTCTGTCAAAGTGGGTGGTGCTGTCCATTTTACAGATGAAACTGAGGCATAATTAAGTAACTTATTTTAAATTAAAAGTGTGTTGCCAGGTGTGGTAGCTCACACCTGTAATCCCATTGACTTGGGAGGCTGAGGCAGGAGGATCACAAATTTGAGATCAGCCTAAGCAATTTAGTGAGGCCCTAAGCAACTTAGCTAGACTGTCTCAAAATAAGAAGGGCTGGGAGAATAAAAAAGGCTGAGGATATAGCTCAGTGGTAAAGTGCCCAGGTTTAATCCCCATTTAAAAAAAAAAAAAAGGCACAGAAGTGGTATGGTAGAATTTAATTGATTGCAGCCATGGGCTTTTTCCAGCCCGACCTTAACTGGAAACAGCAGGTGGCCTAGGCTAGGGTGGGCTAGGGGTGAGCTCAGCCTGAGTGCTCCCTTTCAGTTTGCCCATGAAGTCGGGCAAGGTTTACAGGCTGGTTTGCAGCCCTGAATCTCCCTATTTGTCTGCAGTGACCTCATCCATCTGTGCTGTAGTGGTGACTCTGGCAACCGTGGTTTGATCAGGCTCAGGGAGGGCAGTATGTCCCATGAGGCCAGGATCTCCTAGAGAGGATTTGTCTTTGTTTTTGACATTATGGATCCTTAGCTGTTTGGGCTACAATGACCTTGAGGTCTACCTTGTGTGACACCTTGGATTGTAGAGGATGAGACCTGAGGGAAACAAACCTTCCCAAGCAAGACCCACCTAACATCCAGATCCAACTCCCAGCTGTGGCTGCTACATTCTTTCCTGTGTTACTGTGTCACGCTTAGTTCTTCACTGCCTGGGGAAAGCATTCCTATTTTCAGGGAAAATGTTGATGGGCCATACTGAGGGTGTTGGGGGAGGATACTGGAGCCATGGCCTGGGACTCACCCCCAGTCTTGTCCTCCACTGAGGACACAGACTATTGGCGCTCCAGACAGGCTTAAGCCCCCACTCCATCACAGGGACAGGCCACTCCAGGGTTCAAAGCCCAGATTTCCCATGTGAATCTTACTCTAGTTTTCCAGCTACCCTTGACCCGCTTTCCTGACCATCAGAAAGGAGATGCTGCTCTCCAGACATTCAGGCCCACGGGGTAGACACTCTGCTCTTTCCTGGACTGTCCTCACTGGCCTGGGAGAAAGGCAGGGGTCAGAGAAGGCCTTTGCTAGAAGGCAGATACCAGGGGATTGAGGTCTGGCTTCTCCCCACTTCCCACTCCCCAGGTAAACCCTGCAGCAGCCTCAGGGTTGCTTAGATATTTATGATAGACTAAAGGGTAAGCACTGTGAACTCATATTTGGGCAGGAAGACTGAGGCAAAGAGTGTAGCTACAGAGAACAGGAGAGCCTCAGACTTGACAGAGGTACTGCTAGTGGCAGTGTAGACTTAGAGAGAAGTAGAGGTCCAGAAGCAGGAGACACCACAGGGCTGTGGTGGGGTGCTATCCCTGTCGAGTGAGGATGCAGGGTGCAGACCCTGCTCCTAAGTCAGGACAATGGGTGTTTACTACTCTCCCCAAGGCCTGGTGGGGGCTGACCTGCCTCCCTCTCCTTCCCAGGTAAAGGTGGACAAGACCTGTGTCCTGGAGCATGTGACACGGGACCGGGTGCGGGGGGGCCAACGGCGTCGGCCACCAACAAGAATCCACCTGAAGGAGGTAAGGCTGTGCCTGCGGTTTGGTTGGTGGGAGGTCAGTTGGGCCTGGGGCTCAACTCCTTAGAGTGGCATCCAGGCTTGGGCAATCTCTTTCCTGAGGACACCTGGAGTTGGGCTTGCTGAGTGATGTACAGAAGAGGGCACTTGTGCTATTATGCTCAGGGAGTAGATGTTCCCAAACCCATAGTCTTTTTCATTTATGGGCTACATAGTAGGTTAGCCAGAGTTGGCTAGAGGGAAACTGAGACATATGAGACTAGTCCCTGACTCTCCAAATTCAGCTTCCAGTTGGAAAATAGACCTGTCCATAGACTCCCCCAAGCAGAGCTGTGTCTAATTATGTACAGAGAATGCTGTGAGGTTGTGGGCAGGAGGGACCGTGGAGGAGCCACTGGCATTTGAGCTGACCCTTGAAGGACAGTGTGGGTTTTGGTTGGCAGATTTGGAATGATGGGATTCCTGGCAAAGGGAATGGTAATTGCTGAGGCACGGGGCAGAGCAGTTCAAGGTGTGCAATGGCTCTGCTGGTTTGGGAGACTGATCTGGGAAGACAGGGTTAGGGAGGAATTTGTGGAGACCTTGAGTGCAAGAGTTGGGAACAGAATGGGAAGGCACAATCCAGAGCTTAGTTGGAGGCTCTTTTTGTGGGTTAGATTGAGGGACAGAAAAAAGTGGGGGAGCTGGTCCCCTAGGCTTCAGGTGTGGATGAGAAGGGAAGGGTTCGTGGGAGACACTGGGAAGCAAGAGCTACCGAGGCTTGCTTGAATGCTGGGATTGGACAGAGCAGGAAGGTGGTCAGTGGTGTCAAAGGCCTGAAGACTGGGCAAAGGGAGGTGCTGGGCACAGGGAATTTGGGAGAATGTATGAGCAAGAGTGAGGGGTAAGGGGGCACCCCTTTTAGACCAGTGCAGCTTATGTGGGTGTCCGATTTTGGAGGTCATGAAAGAACTTCAGCAAATGTGATATTTGGGGGCTGGAGAGGAGCAGTAGGCATTAGCCAAGGAAGAGGAAGCGAGAGAGACCAAACGGGATGCAGTGATATACAGTCATAGTCCCCAAGGCAGGAGGATCTCAAATTCAAGGGCAGACCCCTTCTCAAAATAAAACATAAAGGGCTGGGGATCCAGATCAGTGGTAGAGCATGGAGAGAGAGAGGGGGGCGGCCAGACCTGGGGAACAGCAGCCAGGTTGGCATCCACAGTTAACAAGGAAAAGGCAAGTGATAATGTTTGCAGCACGTTTTCTAGGAGAAGGAGTCAGGGTAGAGATGTTGTGGACACCGCACAGGGCAGGGACCATGAGAGGGGCATGAGAGGGACAAAGGGACAGGGTCATCAGAAGGTTTGCTGTGGAGAGGAGGCAGCCTATTATTTTCTGTCAGCTGAAGGAGAGGAGCTGCAGAAGGGGAGCTGAGGTCCTCGAAAGAACAGGAACACCCGTGGGGAAGATCTGAGGTGGGACCTTCGAGAGGAGCTCAGGGAGGCACGGTGTGTGTGTGTGTGTGTGTGTGCGCGCGCGCGTGCGCGCACGCACTGGAGGAATATTTCTGTGGGAGTTCCACATGACTCAGAGCAGGTATTGGCCAGATCACATGGGACATGTAAAAGGGTGTGAGGGTCCCTGCCAGCATCCCCAACATCTGAGGAACCTTAAGAGATGCCTCCTGCCACCTCTGCTCCAAGATCTCTGAAGCTCTGTGACAAGATCCCCATAACTTGGGCTGCTGGGTGTCCCCTGGGTCACCAGAGTCAGGTGGGGAGACAAGCCCATTTGGTACAGTGGCTCTCCCCTGGTGTTCAGCTGATTAGGCAAGGGCTGGAGAGGAACTGGCAGATAGGACACAGGTCTCCAGAAAGGGAAGCAGAAGTGAATGAGCTTGAGACTTGGGGGAATTTACATTTGACTCAGTGACCATTTAGCCTGTTTGACACCCACATACCATCCCCCCCACCAGGTAGCCAACGCAGCTTCTGACGGTTTTTTGCGCCTGGACCTCGATGTTCCGGACAGTGGGCCACCAGTGTTTGTCCCCAGCAATGATGTCAGTGCGGTCCAGCCCCGGGAGACACCTCAGCCCCTTATGCCTCCTACCAAGCCTTCCCCAGCACTTGAGAAGACCAGCCTTAGTGATAAGGTGGAGCCCCCTTCTGGAGACAGAGCCCCAACCCCAGTCTCAGCCAGCTCTGAAGCCCAATCTGAGAGCCAGGAGGACTCGGAGATCCTGCTGGGGGAGGACAGTGGCTCTAAGGAGCCCCCCAACAGCATCTTGCCTGACAAACTGAAGGTGAGCTGGGAGAGCCCCAGCCTCAGGGATCTCCCTGTTCTGGAGAGTGCTGAACTCTCCAAGGTACCTTGTTCTGAGACTGCAGAGGCTTCCCCTAGGGGTGGGAAGCCCCCTACACCCCCACCCAAGATCTTATCGGAGAAAATGAAAGCCTGTTTGAGTGGGATGGAGACTTCTGAGCCAGCCCAGAGTTCTGGGACCGCTGGGTCCTCTGCCCCAGGCTCAGCACAGTTCTCAGTGAATGGTGTGGATGATGGTCCTGAGCCTAAGCCATCCCAAGGTGCAGGCGCTCCAGGAACTGCCCGAGAGGATGCAACGACATCCACAGCACTGCCCCCCTGGGACTTGCCACCTCAATTCCATCCCCGCTGCTCCTCCCTTGGAGACCTGCTTGGAGAAGGCTCCAGGCATCCACGGCTGCCCAGGGAACAGCTGTATCGGGCCCAACTGGAGGTGAAGATAGCCTCAGAACAGACAGAGAAACTATTGAACAAGGTGCTGGGCAGCGAGCCACCCCCTGTGAGTGCTGAGACATTGCTCAGCCAGGCTGTGGAGCAGCTGAGGCAGGCCACTCAGGTCCTGCAGGAAATGAAAGATTTGGGAGACCTAAGTCAGGAAGCCCCTGGGCTAAAGGAGAAGCGGAAGGAACTGGTGACCCTCTATAGGAGAAGTGCACCGTAGGCCTGCTGGGCCAGAGGCGCAGGTCCTCTTGGCTGCGCCCATCAAAGCCCAGCCTTGTTGAGAAATGAGGTCCATTGGGTATGTCAGGGTTTGGTTAGGACCTGAAGAAACTCCTGGTGTCCTTCCCACTCTGCCCTGGCCAGTGGTGCCAGGTGCCAACCAGCACCACTGTCTGTCTCTCTGGCTTGGCCTCACCTGGGACTCTGTGCTAGGAGCTCACACTCAGGTCCTATGTGCTGAGTGATTGTTCCAAACTTCCCCAGGGCTTTGGCACAGTTCTTGGGGTTTCTAGGGGTGGCATCATCTCTGCTCCCCACCCCCAGTAGTTTACATTCCTGACTTCTGAATAGAACACAGCTGAGCCCCACTGTAGTCCCTCCTCTCATCTCTAGATGTTCCCAGACAGCCTCCAAGTCAGCCTCCTTCACACTTATTCTGAATGGCTTCAGAGGCCTTGGGTGTAGGCTATAGGATCATCCCTCAGCTGGGTGAAACCTGGGACTCAGCTAGGGCCTCCTGAGGCAGATGCTTCTGTCTCGTGAGGAAGGCATTTGCTGTGTGGCCCCTCTCTGGGCCTGTTAATTTTTCTGCAAAGCAAGGGCATTTTCTGCAGCCTCCTTCTCTTTGATGAGCTGCAATTGGAGGCACAAGTCTAGAGCATTTCAGGAAAGAAGAGGAACCAGAGGGTCTCCTAACTTGTTTTTTACTTCTGGACTAGCTGTGTCTAGCCTTGCACACTCCCGAAGAGGTGAACCCCTGAGTGGCCCAGTGTCAACATTAAAAAAAACCTGTATGTGATTATCATAAATCAGCCCTCAGAATTCCCCTCCAACTTTTGTGCCTCCCCAGATGGGACTTATCTGGGTCTCTGTGGTTCCTCCTCAAATCAAACAGGCCCAGTGTCTCCATCATCTCCTCATACACTGATGGGGCCTGCTGGAGTCTGACATCCCTTCCCTCCCTCCTCTAGCCCTCTTCAGCTCAGACCCCTGGTGGGTCACCCCTCCTAACTTTGTAGTGGAAGGAGGATTTTCTCCTGTCTCCCTTCCTGGCCCATTCCTGGTCCCCTCCCAAGTCCCCTCCCAAATTGTGCCTGGATCTGGGAGCACATCCAGTTTCATCCTGCTGCAGCAACTAGACTGAGGGTGGAGCTTAGGGGTGGGGATGGGGGCAACTTCTCTAGGACCTGCCCAGGAGGTTTCTCCATGTGCACTTTTGTTTACAGAAGAGAAGAGAGGGCGACAGCAGCATGCCCTGGCCTTTCTGCCTACTGCTCCACCCATCTTTAGCCACCAGCCATGCCCACTGAGACCTGCCAGTGCAGGTTGATGTCTTCATTACTGTACTGTCACTTTGTTCTTGAGGGCAGTGGGCAGAGATCAGAAGAGGCAGGTCTCCTCTTTGGTCTGTACCCCGATGGTGCAGAGGTGAGCAGCAATGCCATGGTTCATGAGCCCTCATCATCCTTCACAAACCACAGTCCTTAGGCTCCTATGCCACAGTATGCCTTTCTTCCATCTCTTCTGTATAAGAGCAAGAATGTTATCAGGTGCCCATCACATGATCCCCTGTCATCTTCCCTCAGGGAACAGCCTCCCCCATCAGCAGCCAGGACTGGCTGGACTTTAGCCAAGTCATCTACTGCCAGGAATTGGGCCTCAGTTTCTTCTTCTGTTGGCGTGGCAGGGCAAGTAGGTCTATTCCCATGCTTTGGCCACCTTTCTGCCTCTCCCTGGGGAGGAGGCATTCTGTGTCCTCTGCTTATGAAGCGCCTTTTTTGAAGTTTGGCAATAAATCCCTTTTTATGAAACTTACCAGTCCTAAGCCTGTTTGTTGGTGTGGTAGCCAGCTCTAGGGCTGGCCTTGAGGGAGCAGAGGGTAGGTGGCAGATGGCATCATAGTTCCCGACAGTTCCAGGGCCCACTTCCTGTAGGCTGGGCTGGAGGTATTGCCTCTCCCTGTGCTGGGCTCCTGCTAAATTCAGCCAGGCCCCACCCAACTACCCCTCCCCCTCAGTGTTTCTCTGGGCCAGGGTCTAAATGTGAGGAGCAGTGCTTTCTTATTTTAAAAAACATTATTTGGAAATAAAAGTTGCAAGAATAAGACTAGTACAATGAACACCCACATACTCTGCCCAGATTGACCCATTATTTTATCTTCTCAGCACTTTCTCTCTTCCATGTGTACACATTTTTTTTTCTCTGAATCATTGGAAAGTTGGTTATCATGGTCCTTTACCCCTAAATACTTCAATGTGTGTTTCCTAAAAGTAAGTTTATTCTCTCATGTAATCATGCTATAGTTTCCAGTGTCAGTAAACTTAACACCAATGTAATAGTTTGTTTTTTATATTCCAGTTTTTATCATTTGACACAATTATTCTTATCATATTTTTCCTCTTGTCCTGGTCAGCTATTACACACAATTATCAACTCTTTTTAGTCTCCTTTAATCTGAAACATTTACAGTCTGTCTTTCACGACACTGACATTTTGTAAGAATAGTCTTTCCTCCTAACCCTTTTAATAGACCATTCCTCCTTTGGGGTTTGTCTGAGGTTGAGACTATGGATTCTTGGCCAGAAACCTGCATGGAAGGTAAGTGGTTCCTTATCAGGAAATCATATCTAGTGGCATGACATCCATTTGACCCTCTTTGATGCTGTTCATTTTTATCACCTGAGCAAAGTATCTGCTTTTCTACTGTCTGATTCATGTTTATTCTTTTGCAAGTACTAAGCAATCTGTGCAAGGCATCTTAAGACTATGCACAAATGTGGCCCCCCAACACAATTTCCCCCAATTTTGATTTTTGATTCTTATAAAAAGGTGTTTCCTATAAAGATTTCAAGTGACGCCACCAGCTGTTTTACTTCCGAGCCTTGTCCTGATTAGGGGTGAGCCTGGTCTCTGCTTTATGCCTGGGGACTCCTGACACTTCTCAGCACCTCAAGTGTGCTTAAGGAAGCAAGCCCTGGGCCCATTTACAGAACTCTTCAGTCAGACTACCGATTTTCAAACCCCACCCAGGGACTTTGGGTAAGTTTTAGTCTTGGGGGCCCTCATTTTTCCCAATCACAAAAGAGGATTAAACTACTCTCCAGTCTTCTATGTAGGAAAGCACTGCTGTGCTTTCCAGAGGCTGGCTCCTTTCCTTCTCTGTGAGGGCCACTGCACAGTCCCTGTGACCAACATAACAGGAAGCACCTGACCCAGGACCTATCAACTGTGGCTGTGACCCTTGTGTCCCTTGTGAATTTCCCTGTCACTGATCTTATGTGTGACAGCTATACCACGTGTCCTGCAGAAGCTGGGGAACCTCAGAAGAACCACTTTCAGGCCCCTTTATCTGAAATGAGTCTCTATGGGTGGGAGTGTCCCTTCAACCCTGACCCAAGAATTAAGTCACTTCTGGAGGGCCACCTTGAAGGGAATAGCTTCTGGCATGGTGTTGGTGGCTAACCACAGGGCTGAGGAAGGTTGTGGCAAGAGCTTGCTCTCTGGTCTTGAGGACTGAAGAGAAGGGGAGCCTTCTTTTTGAACAAACTGCAATACCTCTAGCCTGAGTCCCTGTGGATAGTCAAACTGCAGGATTTTGCAAACCACAAGGTGGCTGCCTTCAGAGGGGCCGGGATGGGGGGAGGTTGGTGAGGGCCTTCCCTTTTACCTCCTCTTGTTCCCTCCACCTGGGCCTGGGTCCTGGAAGCTTCCTGCATCTCTGGAGCCACTGTATTTTGTGCATCCATTTTCCTGCCTCTCCTAACCTGCCTCTCATGTTCCAGACAAATGGAGCTTTCAGGAAAGACCACATGAACTCAAGTGGAGGTTTCTGTGACAGGAGGCTGTGTGAGGGAACAAGAAGGGCAGAGAGGTGATGGCAGAAATTCCTCCCTGTAGACATAATCTTATTCAAGAAATAGTATTTCTGACTGAAACAGCTGGGTATAAGTAGAAAAAATGTACTTTAGATTTGAAGACAGACACACCTAAATTCAAACCCCAAGAGTGGGACTGGATGTAGCTCAGTGGTAGAGAACTTGCCTAGAATGTTCACTCTCTCTGGTTACACGAAAAAACAAAACAAAAAACACAGCAACTTGAGTGAGTTCAGACTAACTGTGCCTGTTTTCCTATCTGTAAAATGAATGGATTCTCTCTCCTCCACAAGGCTGCTGTGGAACACTTAGCCCATGACCCAGCCCCGTAGGAAATGCTTAATAAACTCCAGCCTCATGGGCTGTTGATCTTTCCTTGTCACCACAGAAGTCTCATGAGGAAAATGTAATGTTCACTCCATTTGACAGTTTAGGAAATAGGCTTAAGCAACTTGTTTAGGAGACCAAAGTTAGCGTTAGGACCCTATGCATCCTGGCCTACAGCCACAGCTGAGTGCTTCCTGTCATTACTCTGGAGGGTCTGTGACTACAGGTGGAGGCTCAGCCCAGGGACTTGGGCTTGGGGCATCTCCACTTCCTTGCATCTAGAGATGCCCCGAGGCCCAGCCTGGCTCCCCACCAGTCAGCCTGGCCCTGGGGAGCGGCTCAGAGGCCTTCCTTATAAGGACAACAATTTAGCTGTGATGAAACCTCTGGCCGCCCAGCTGGGAGGGTGGGGGAAGGGAAGTGACTGAGGCTCCAAGGGCTACAGCTGAGAGATTGAGCCTCCGCAGGAACTCACCCACAGGGCCTCCCTGTCCCCTTCCTGTGTCAGTAGCACAGTGCGGGGCTTTCCGGAAAGCCCCACTGGCAGGAGTGGGGAAGAGGATTCAGGCAGCCCAAGAAGCCAAAGGGTGGCCAACAGAGAGGAAGATGAGAGGGAACAGAACACTACTTGAAGCAGAAAACTCACAGGTCTGAACCCTAAGCTCTAGTCCGGCCAGTGTTCAGACTGATCAGGACCATCAGAGAGGTCTGGGGAGGAGTGTAGGGATGTTCTTAGGCAAGTCTTCCCTTTCTTCCTTTGGACCTCCAAAGTCAAGTCATAAAGGGGAGGGGGTGGGTGCTGATCAGTTTGCAGCATCACCCTATCCTCTTCCTCCCATAACCCATGTTCCTAGGGAACTCCCCTTTCCCCCAGAATTCACCAGCCCACTATCCATCTGCAAAACTAATCATGGAATCACAGGATACTGGACTGATAAGGATCTTTGACACTGTCTAGTCTCACCTGCTGATTTTAAAGAGGAGGAAGTGACAGCTCAGTGGGAGGATCTGAACAGGCTCATCTGTTTTGTTTAAAAAAAAAAAAGTGTGTGTATGGTTTTTCCTTGTTTTCATATTAAAAGTTCCATTTTGCTGGGTGCAGTTGTTAACTCCTGTACTCCCAGCGGCTCAGGAGACTGAAGCAGGAGGATCCTGAGTTCAAAGCCAGCCTCAGCAACTTAGCAAGACCCTGTCTTTATTTTATATAAAAATATAAAAAAGGGCTGGGGATGTGGCTCAGTGTTAAGTGCCTCTGAGCCCCTAAGTTCAATCCCCGGTACCAAGAAAAAAAAAAAAAAGAAGAAAAGAAATCACAACTTATTAGCTGAATAAAAAGACAAAGGACTTTTCCCACACCATGTTTGGTTAGTTTTGGGGATCAATGCTTCCCTAGAAACCATGGCTGGGGTTGGCAATGAGGTGGGCTCAGATCCTGAGGCAGAGCCAGATGTGGCAGAGAGAATTGGTCTCTGACAATGCTGTGCATAAGCTGTGTGACCTGAACCAGCTTCTCATTCTCATTCTTTTCTCTCAGGAAAGATAATCACTCCTGGGAAGGGAATTTTGAAAACAAAATAAGATAAATTGTTTCATTTCGAGGTGTTGGGGATCAAACCCAGGGCCTTGCACAGGCTGGGCAAGTGCTGTACCACTGAGCTACATCCCAAGCCCCTATAATGAGGTAATTTAGATAAAGCTCAGGGCCCATTTACTAAGCCATAGTAAGGGCTTAGTAAATGGGTAATAATATTATGTGTTGAGTACCTACTGGGTGCCAACATTATATTAGGTGCTATGGACTCCAAGTACAATAAAACAGGATCCTTTCTATTTGCTTGCTGCCATTGTGGGAAACAGATGCTCCACCTCAGTAAACACAGTGGGGCAGAGCAGGGATCAATGGGCTGCTTTTGCGGGGGTGGAGGGGGATCAGGCATGGCCTCCTAGGTGACTTTTGACTGGCCTTAGTGGAAGAGTAGAAGTTTACCAAACAGAGGAGTTGGGGAGGACACCTGAGAAAGAGGGAACTGAGAATCACAGTGTGTTACCAGACCTGTGGTCAATCCTTCCTGAGGTATCCTGTAGGGAGAGGTACTAAGGGACAGGTGGGAAAAGGCAGGAGGTCATGCTGTTCACCCAGAAAGCTTGGACTTTGCCCCAGAGACCAAGGAGAGGCATTGGGAGTGTTTTAAGGAGGGGAGCCACAGGCCATGAGGTGGAACCTGGAGGCAAGGAGACCAGTTTCACAGGAGACAAGGTGAGGGGTAGTGAGGCATTGCAGGTGGTGTGGAGGCTAGACTCTGTAGGAGGCAGAATGGGGAATTGAGGGCTTTGTGGATGTGGAAGGAATGGAGTGAGAGGCAAGGACATCAGAGATGACTCAGTTCTGAAGGTATGGGGGTTCCTTTCCTGAGATGGGGAGCCATAGGGAAGGAGAAGGACGAGGAAAGGATGATGACCATGTGGAGGGGTTCAGTGGTATCAGAACTGGATTGGGCCACTCCGATGGTCCCTAGTTTTTAGAAAGTGGGTGATTGACACCATTAGCATCGTCAAGTTATAACTTATATGTTACTTAGGATTAGATTTGATTGTGGCTGGCAAGAGGCCATG